TGGGGAGTGCTTGGATCAGCATGAAGAACACAAAGCAGCCAGATAGCTATGGCCTTTCAAAACTTTCCAAATGGGAATGAGCCAGAGGCAAAACCCTGGTGGCTTCTTGGGCTTCCTTCCAGGGCACCATGTCTTGGCCGAAGTCAGTCTCAGGCTAATGATAAGATGCTTTCTAGCAAGAAGCTAACGTCAGACATGCTCTGGTCAGCCCATCGCTGCCCGCAGCCAGGAGTATACGCGCTCAGCGGTCTCCAGGCTTGCATTTCCCTGGGGATGTAACTGAACTCCAACTGCATGGAGACAAAGGCCAGCAGTGTCTGGGAAGCCCTGGCCTGGGCTGCATGCCATCTGGCATCTATGGCACTGCAAGGACACTGCTGTACAAATACAAACCTGCCCTGTTCTTTGAGGAGGCTAGTTCTTGCAAGGGTACAATCTCTTTGCCTGGGCACCAGAGCTTTTCTCCAAAAAGGCAGCGAGATGATGCTGATGCAGAGGAAGAGATGCCATCCACCTGGCTGCTGCCCTTCTGGGTTACTGTCCACATGCACAGGGCCCTTGGTGCTGCTGACGGGGGGAGCAGGCAGGAGGTGGGTGATGGCAGTGATGCCCACGGCTCTCCCTGCCAGATGCCCTGCAGACCTGAGCCCAACCACCATGCGCGTGAGCAACAGGGGCTGTGGTACCCGCCACACGTTGCTGCAGAACCATCCAAAAATCTCTCAGTTTGAGGCAGATTTGTCCAAGGCACTTTGCAAATCTTTGAAGCTGAGGTTTTAACATCTGGCACGCATTGGCCCCTGTCCCAGGCCCCGCCCTCACCCAAACTAACACTCCCCTCTGTCCCTGCCCTGCCACCACCATGCATTCTCCAGGGCCAGGAACAAGGCAGAGGCCACAGGTCCTCACCTCTTTTTCCAGGCTGCCCAAGTTGCTTTCAGACACTTCTTTATGTCAGCAATAGGGAAAGGAAATTTTCTTTGGCCTGATCAGGACTTCTTCCAGCCTAGCAGCTGTGTGGTGAAGGACTCTGTGCAAGCTCTCAGCTTGGGGACCATGGCTAGGCTAGGAGATACAAGGACTTTGCCATTGGAAGGGCTTTGCTGTGACCATCTAGCCGTGGACTAGCAGCCCAGCTGCCCACAGCATGCTCTCCAACACACCTCAATACTCCTAGCCCTGTTCTGCCCCCAACAATGGTCCCCTGTGGTAGGGCTGTGTATGCACAGGCAGGTTGTCCATCATGCTCTGCCCTTACCCCAGTTGGCCCCAGCATCCTGCTCACAGCACCTTACAAACAGCTTCTTCCTCCCACCTTTTCCAGTAGGAGTGTTCATTAAATGGTCTGACCTGAGTACCTGGGATAGAGATACTGTAAGGAGACTCAGGAATGTAACAGAAGGACGGACCCGAGAGCCCTTGATATGGAACTGAGTCTGGGCTCATCTCAACCCCATATCCAGTTCTCTCCTCCTGAGCTCAGAGCCCTATGCTAGATCAGCTGTGTATCCCCAGGACAAAGATGCCCAGCTCCACAGCACCCAGAGGAGAGCAACAAGGCTCCCCAGGGCCTACTGGATCAAACCAGGAGGGTAGGTAGGACAGGAAGGAGGGATTTCTGCAGAGGAGTGCCCCAGCTGGCTATTGACACCAAGGAGCAATGAAGAATTAGGGGGTGGAAGTTTTCTGTATTTGCATTTCATAGGATCATAGAATCATAGAATGCTTTGGGTTGGAAGGGACCTTTAGAGGTCATCCAGCCCAACCCCCCTGCAGTGAGCAGGGACAGCTTTATCCAGATCAGGGTGCTCAGAGCCCCATCCAACCTCACCTTGAACGTTTCTAGGGATGGGGCCTCCACTACCTCTCTGGGCAACCTGTTCCAGTGCTTGACCACGCTCATTGTAAAAAATTTCTTCCTTATATCCAGTCTAAATCTCCCCTCCTTTAGTTTAAAACCGTTACTCCTTGTCCTGTCACAACAGGCCTGGCTAAAAAGATTGCCCCCATCCTTCCTATAGGCCCCCTTTAAGTACTGAAAGGCCACAATAAGGTCTCCCCGCAGCCTTCTCTTCTCCAGGCTGAACAACCCCAACTCTCTCAGCCTGTCCCCGTAGGAGAGGGGCTCCAGCCCTCGGATCATTTTGGTGGCCTCCTCTGGACCCGCTCCAGCAGGTCCATGTCCTTGTGCTGAGGGCTCCAGAGCTGGACGCAGGGCTCCAGGTGAGGTCTTACCAGAGCAGAGGGGCAGAATCCCCTCCCTCGACCTGCTGGCCATGCTGCTTTTGATGCAGCCCAGGATGGGGTTGGCTTTCGGGGCTGCAAGCGCACGTTGCCAGCTCATGTCCAGTTTTTCATCCACCAGTACCCCCAAGTCCTTCCCTGCAGGGCTGCTCTCAATCCCTTCATCTCCCAGTCTGCATTGATAGCAGGGGTTTCCCTGTCCCAGGTGCAAGACCTCGCACTTGGCCTTGTTGAACCTCATGAGGTTTACATGGGCCCACCTCCCCAGCTTGTCCAGGTCCCTTTGGATAACATCTTGTCCTTCTGGGGTGTCAACCGCACCACTCAGCATGATGTCGTCTGCAAACTTGCCGAGGGTGCACTCAATCCCACTGTCTGTGTCATTGATGAAGATGTTAAACAGCACCGGTCCCAGTACGGACCCCTGAGGGACTCCACTCGTCACTGGTCTCCATGTGGACATCGAGTCGTTGACCACTACCCTCTGGGATGCAACCATCCAACCAATTCCTTATCCACCGAACAGTCCACCCATCAAATCCATATATCCCCAATTTAGAGGGAAAGATGTGGTGGGGGACTGTGTCAAAGGCTTTACAGAAGTCCAAAAAGATGACATCCATTGCTTTTCCCTTGTCCGCTGATTCAGTCACTCCTTCATAGAAAGCCACTAGTTTGGTCAGGCAGGACTTGCCCTTGGTGAAGCCGTGCTGGCTGTCTCGAATCACCTCCCTGTCTTCCATGTGCTTGAGCAAAGCTTCTAGGAGGATCTGTTCCATGATCTTCCCAGGCACAGAGGTGTGGCTGACAGGTTGGTAGTTCCCAGGGTCCTCCTTTCTTCCCTTTTTAAAAATGGGCACAACATTCCCCTTCTTCCAGTCACCAGGGAGTTCACCTGACTGCCATGACTTTTCAAATATCATGGAGAGTGGTTTGGCAACTACATCAGCCAATTCCCTCAGGACTCTGGGGTGCATCTCATCAGGTCCCATAGACTTGTTTGCCATGGTCCATCTAATTGGACTTCTTTCTCTGTGCAGACATCAATGAATGTGCCCTCAACCCAGACATCTGCCCCAATGGCATGTGCGAGAACCTGCGTGGAAGCTACCGCTGTATCTGCAACCTGGGCTACGAGTCAGATCCCACGGGCAAAAACTGTGTGGGTAAGTTCAGGGCAGCACAAGCTCAGAGTGGCATAGGGAACCAGGAGCTCAGTGCTGGTGGGGAGAGGATGGCATGCGCTGGCTGGGAGCCAGATGCAGACCTCCAGCTGCACAGGAGCCTGAGGGGATACAGCAGCTGATGCCCTTGAGCACTGTCCCCATTCAGGGCTGCCTTGTCCACATGGAAGAGCACAAGGCACTATGTGAGAAACTACACGTACGTGATTTAACATACTTTCCACATTGTATTGCTTTGAGGATGGTACTGCATTTCTCTGCCTCTCAGGCTGCCAAAGCTCTGTAGGGCTGGCAGAGTAGAAGAGTGGATGCTGGTATTGTAGCTCAGAAACCCCATCTCTCTGCCCACAGATGTTGATGAATGCACTGTCAATCGTTTGCTGTGTGACAATGGACTGTGCCGCAACACACCCGGCAGCTACACCTGCACCTGCCCCAAGGGCTTTGTCTTCAGGACGGAGACAGATACCTGTGAAGGTAATGTGACTCTGAAGGCAACAGAGAACATATTCACAAGATGTAAAGAGCTACGGGCCGAGGTTCTGCCTGAAAGGGAGCTCAAGTTCTAACATGTCTGTGGTTCCCTTTTGACCACAAAGGTTTGAACTGGAGCAGGTCCAAGCTTTGGGTTTGTGGGTTTGGGTTTTTTTTTCCTAGGGGGAAATTTCACACTTCATTCAAAATAGTGGACATCCAAACCCAGCACATCTGGGATTTTCAGTGACTGAAAACCAGAACAGTTTCCTCTAGGCCCCCAAAATTTTAGCTAAAACCTGACCAAAATTGCAAGTGTTGGGGATTTGATTGAAAGCTTACAGTTTGGAGTGGGGGAAACCATTTCCTGACCACAAAGTCCTCAAACATTTGAGAACTGGCACTTTGCACATAAATGTCTGTTTAGAGGAAAAAAAACCTGATTTTCTGTAAAGAAGGTGAAAAATGGCAAATGCTATGTAGCCTCACATCTGGTTCAGACAGGTCCATGAAGGCCATATTCAGCGCTGTGACTGCTCCCATCTTAGCCAGGAGCAGCCCTGAGCGAGTCCATCATTCCCCAGTAGTTGCATCACCACCCTCAATCCCATCCATTCCCTCAGTCCTGAAGAAACTAATTAATTTCGTGGTGTCTGCTGTCAGTGCCCATCCCTCTTGAGATGGTGCATACTTGAGTAGGATGCAGGACTCCCACGGCCTGGACTGGTGATTGTCTGAACAGCTGAAAAACTACTTTCTTCATGTTCTTTGCTTCTCATCTCCCCGTCTCTGGCCCAGAAAACTGGGTCCCATGGCACTCGCTACAGTGACAGTCCCTTTCTTCCCACAGATATCAATGAGTGCACCTCTAACCCTTGTGTGAACGGTGTCTGCAGGAACAATGCTGGCTCCTTCGCTTGCGAGTGCTCCCCAGGCAGCAAGCTGGACCCCAGTGGCACCATCTGCGTGGGTAAGGATGTGGCCTTCTAGAGGCAGCTCTGATATCAGCAGTGCCCATCAGAACCCCTTGTTGTTCATCTGAAGCAAGTCCCATGCTCTTGCCTTAGGGATGGGGATCCTTTGAGGCCTCACTTTCTCACCTAGTGTTTCCTTGGTTGTTAACATCTCTTATGCATCCAGGGAGCCTGAAAAGCTGCAGCCTCAGGCAGCGCTCCCAGGGGATCATGCAGGGCATCAGGATGCTGGGTTCTCATTTACCAGATGGGTTTGTAGTGTGCTGACATTAAGGCACGTTAAGCTGAAGTAGATCCCTTCTCATCAAGATGATGAGAAGGTACCCACTTCCCACTCCCAGATGGTCAGTGCCTTGCAAGGCATCACTGGGGCAGCTGGAGAGAAGGGACTATTTCTACCCAGAAGAGAAGCAGTCTGGGACTAGGAAAAGGGAGGACGCAGAACTGATGCAATACCAGTTGTATTAGAGAGCACAAAAATGCTGCTCCACAGCACAGCAGTGGCACAGGGTTCTGAGGACCAGCACAGTTTGTGTCCATGCTGCGAAGTGCTTGGCCTCCCAGCCTAAAAGATGATACAACACCAGAGAGCAATAGTCACATTACATCTCAGGGATAGTTTGTCGTAGCTGCTTCTCATGGCAGCCTGGCTGCCATGAAGCTGGGAACCTCCACCAAGGAGCAGCTCTTCACTCATGCCTTGTCTTTGCCTCTACAGACAGCATGAAAGGGACATGCTGGCTTAACATCCAGGATGGGCGTTGCGAGGTGAACATCAACGGAGCTACGCTGAAATCAGAGTGCTGTGCTACGCTGGGGGCAGCGTGGGGCAGTCCCTGTGAGCGCTGTGAGATTGGTAAGGCTCTGCTTGGCACAGAGATCGGGAAGGCAGGATGCAGCCCACTTCTTTGCTGATGTGCCTCTGTTTTCTTGCAGATACTGCCTGTCCCCGGGGATATGCTAGGATGAAGGGGGTCACGTGTGAAGGTAAAGTGCTGCAGGACGCAGAATACTTTTTATTGGGAACATGGTAATTTTTTTATTTGTTGCTATCCTGCATCTTTGAGTCTGGCCCTTTGCTGGACTCTCCAGTATGTCCATCTGTCTCTCGTACTGAGAAGCCCAGAACTGGACACAGCACTCCAGGTGTGGCTTCACCAGTGCTGAGTAGAGGGGAAGGATCACTTTCCTTGACCTGTTGGCAACACTCCTCCTAATGCAGCCCAGGATATCATTAGCCTTCTTTGCAGCAAGGGCACATTGCTGACTCGTGTTCAACTTGGTGTCCACCAGGACCCCTGGGTCCTTTTCTGCCAAGCTGCTTTCCGAATGGGTGACCCCCAGCATATATTGGTGCCTGGGGTTGATCCTCCCCAGGTGCAGGACTTTGCACTTCTCCTTGTTGAACTGCATGAGGTTCCTGGCAGCCCATTTCTCCAGTCTGCCAAGGTCCCTCTGAATGGCAGCACAACCCTCAGGGGTATCAGCCACTCCTCCCAGTTTTGTATCATCAGCAAATTTGCTGAGGACACACTTTAGCCCATCATCCAGATAACTAATGAAGGTGTTAAACAGCATCAGACCCAGTATTGACCCCTAGGGTACACCACTAGTTGCTGGCCTCCAACTAGACTTTATGCCACTGAACACCACTCTCTGGGCCCAGCTATTCAGCCAGTTTTCAATCTGCCTCACTGTCTGCTTGTCCAGCCCATACCTCAGCAGCTTGTCTATGAGGATCTTTTGGGAGATGGTGTCAAAGGCCTTACTGAAGGTTAGGTCACACTTCCCTCATCTACCAGGCCAGTCATTGCATCACAGAATTTTATCATGCTCATCAAGCATGACTTCCGCTTGGTCAATCCATGCTGACTACTACTGATGATTTTCTTGTCATTGATGTACCTGGAAATGGGTTTCCAGGTTTAGCTGCTCCATCAACAGTACTCATGTTTGTGAGTTCTGGTGCCACTCTGTCAGTGCTGTGCCAGCTATGCACATGTGCAACAGGACCACCCTGTCTGTCTGTCTGTCTCTGACAAGGCTCTTTAATGCAGCCTCCTTGGAAAAGTGTCTGGACATTGCTGTGGCTGTGCATGGAGCATGTGTTTTTCATTGCGACAAGTTGCCCATTTTAGTCTGGTGGGCATCTCTGGGCACCTTCTGCCTCCTCCAGGAGCCCCTCAAGGCCATACTGAGCTTGGCCACGTGCCACCATCATGCCTGTCTCTTGCTTTTGTGCCAACAGATGTGAATGAGTGCGAGGTCTTCCCTGGCGTCTGCCCAAATGGACGCTGTGTGAACACGGCTGGCTCCTTTCGGTGCGAGTGTCCAGAAGGACTGACCCTTGACGGCACTGCTAGGACATGTGTGGGTAAGGACACCTCATCTCACCCAGCTCCTGGCCTCTGTTTAGCCCTCTCTACAGAGGTCCAGCCACACCCTACCCACCACATGCAGCAGCCTTGGGAATTGAGTGATGGCATGTCATACCTGGTAAGGGCTGCCAAACGCAGCAGCCTAACCAAGGCAAGCCTGCCATAACTTCATGTCCCCAGGCCCAGCCAGCAATGCAATCGTTCCCACTCTTTGGGTGGACTTCAGGGGTAGCCAAATAGGTAATCTAACTGGTTAATGACATGGCCCAGCCAACCCTAAAACAACTCGTGGCTGCTTTCTGAGCACACAGTGACAAACCTTTGCCCTTCATAGGGGCTGTCTGCACTACTAACTACACCATGGAGGGTACATTCTCTGGACCTGTTGCCAACAGTCACAGACTGTCCATGTCCATACTATTATATCTCATAGCATCCCAAACAGGGTGGCCTCATCCAAATGGCGCATACAGCAAAACTGTTCTAGGAACCTTGCTAACTATGTCACAGAAAATGATATCTCTGGTTTTACCAGAGGTTAGGTGCTACAGGCAAGGGCTCAGCTCTGCTCTCTCACCAGACGTGCGTGTGGAACAGTGCTACATGAAGTGGGATGAAGATGAGTGCACGGAGCCTCTGCCAGGCAAGTACCGGATCGACATGTGCTGCTGTTCTGTGGGCTCAGCCTGGGGCATCGATTGTGAAGAATGTCCCAAGATCGGCTCCAGTGAGTACAAGGCCATCTGCCCGAGGGGACCCGGCTTTGCCAATCGAGGAGACGTGCTTTCAGGAAGGCCCTTCTACAAAGGTGAGAAGAAAGAGGGGAGGCTGCTGATTATGGGCTGTGCTCAGCCCATCTCAGCTACAGCTCAAGGAACCTGCTGCTTGCCCTGGGACCCTAGGTTCACTGCAGACATCCCCTCCCTAAAACACTGCTGTTCTGCCTTCACCCACAGATGTGAATGAATGTAAGGTCTTCTCTGGCCTGTGCACTCATGGGACCTGTCGAAACACCATTGGCAGCTTCAGGTGTCTCTGTGGCAACGGCTTTGCTTTGGATGCTGAGGAAAGGAACTGCACAGGTAAGGGAAAAATAGCCTCCCTCCGCACCACTCATGCCCGTCTTGCTGCCTTGCCTGCCTTGTGGGATGCTTAGCATGATGGTGGTACCCAGAGGAGTCATGGCAGTTATCTTAGGAACATGCTGAGAAGCCAAGGGCAGGACCATGAGCAGAAGGCTCCTCCTGCTCGTGGAATGAAGGATCAGTCCTGTACCAGACAGAAAGTTTAACTGCTGTCTCTCCCTTCAGGAAGAGGAGTTCCTTGGTCTGCTGGGTCAGACTTGCCAGTCCTTGTTAATTGAATTTGATGTGCAGTACAGGCAGCCCAGTGCCAGCTGTAGGGGTGCTTGTGTCTGTCCTGCCTCCACTAGCTGGTCTTCATCCCCACAGACATCGATGAATGCCGCATCTCACCAGACCTGTGTGGCCATGGCACCTGTGTCAACACGCCAGGCAGCTTCGAGTGCGAGTGCTTCGAAGGCTACGAGAGTGGCTTCATGATGATGAAGAACTGCATGGGTAAGGACTTGTCTCTAGGGCAGGGCAGCACCCTTACTCTTTTGCAACAGGGAAGAAAGTAGCTGGTGCCAGATCTGACAAACGGCTTCATGCCAAGCTGCTCTCCGTGCATCTGGCTGTCTGGCTACCTGTCTGTCTGGCTCCCTGTTCCCTGGTATCAAGCCAAATCTCTTCATTGCCCTCTAGGGGAGTTGTGGGAGTCCCTGTGCCGCAGAGAGTCCCTGCTCTCCCCAGGGTAGTGAGTGTTCTGCTTTGCTTTGATTGCAAGGGCAGAGCTGGGCTGAAGGACAGCATGTGTAGAGAGAGGAATGCTCTGTGTGTAGCTGAGAGCACCATAGATGTAACCCTGGAAGGACAGCAGAGCATATGCAAAGTGAAGTCATGAGACACACCACAGGCTCTCTAAGCTGGAGGACATAAAGGGAGAGGCCATGTCCCCAGCAAGGCTTGGCTTGAACCCCAGACCCCTCCAGAGAAGGAGAGCAAAGAGACAAAGCTGTAGCCTCTGCTTCCTGCATGGATGCTGTGCCATACGTGGGCCAGTAGTCCATCAGTGATGGGCCTCATGCTGTCTCTTCTAGCAGTGCCCCAGGGCTCTGTACCATGCAGAGCAAGGACAGACCGTGAAAAGGTTGCCAGACTTGGGGCCAAAACTGGGAGCCTTCCCTCAGAGACCTCTATATATGAGGATCTCTTGGACCAGAGCCCAGAGCCTGTGCCCAGCACCCGGGCTGGTGGTACCCCATGAGATGGGGAAGGAGACTGGCAGCCCAGGCCAGCGTCAGGGAGGACTCTGGGTATAGTGCCAGGTCCAGGGGAGCATCCTGGGCTCTTCCTGCGATGACAGTCATGGGACATCGTTGGTCCTGCCCTGCCACCTCCTGGCCACCATTACCTCAGCTGTGGGAGCCCACTGGGGAGCCCGTGCTGGGAGCCCATGGGGCCACCAACCAGCTTTTCTCAAGTTCTTTCCTATCCCTTTCCTGCTTGCTAAACCCAAAGGGCATTTCCCTGCAATCCCAGTGCAATGTTGCCTTCCTTTTTTTACATAAGACTAAAGCCTTGTACTTCCTTTTTCATCTTGTACTTGTTCATGTACTTGTACAATGTTCATTCTTCTTTATTTTATACTCTTCCCTCACTTGGACCTTCCCTTGCACCAAACCTTGGCCACTAACCTTTCCTCTTGTTTCAGCCACCAGCAGCTGGAGCTTGAGCCTGGCATTGCCACTGAGCTGGGACAGGATCCATGCGTGGTATTTTCATTC